CGGCCAACGGCCTTGCTGCTCGTGTTCAACAACGTGCTGCTGCTGCTGCTGCTGCTGCTGCTGCTGCTGCTGCTGGCGGACGTTAACCTGTGGATAGCTTTGACGGCGACTACAGTGGTGGTGCTGGTGGCTGCGCCTCCTGTTTGTCATCTCCATGGTGCTGAATCGGACTGCGCAGTTGTAGCTGCTGCGTGGCTGACGCAGGAGGAGAAGATGGATGCGCGCGACGCTTCCCAAGTGGCTGCACGTGCTCGTTCATGGGTTGAAGAAGGTGGAGAGAGAAGGCGGAGGTGTCAAACAAGGGTCTGCTCAGGCAGCTACGCAGTTTGCCAGCATGAGCGCGGAGATGAATGAGCCCAGCGGCCCGTTCGGATGAAGACCTTTGGTGAGAAGATGGAATCGATGAAGCGCGGACGCACCCTCAAGGAGCAACGTTATGGCGTGCTGAGGCTCACACGGCGCCTCGCTGATGATGAGACAGGCGGTGTGCACGCACGAGTTGTCAGATCGGTACCCACTCACTCCTCCGGATGGTGTTTGGAAAACATGATGTTGAGTGTAAAGCGTGGTGATGCCATGATGTTCTCGTGGATGCTACACGAGCGGGTGCTGGCTGCGTCTGCTTTGTTTTGATAGGCTTCGCTGAACAATGACAGTTTCAATTGAATTGTCCTGAACGAGTTGTATCGCGTCATGAAGTCGGGATGGTGAGGCGTGAAGGCAAGAAAGTGCTTGCACGCGTGAAAAACAGGCAACAGTCGTGGGAAGCGGAACAACAGAAGAACGCAGCTACACTGACAAACATGCAACAGTGTCATAGTCACAGCCACACAATCGACAAAGCACACTTGCAATGGCAACGAAGTCACAGAATGGAAAAAAGTCGAATCATGGTTTGGGAAATGTCTCACTTGCGCCGTACTGACCATGACGTTTTTCTTGAGCATGAATACTGGTGTGAGAGTTAAGGAGAGGCTCTTCGTCTTGATGCACGGCACGACAACACGTTGAGAAACGTTTGCCCTTCGGAATCACTGCCTTGCCACAGCATGTAGTTGACAACCACTTCCCAACACGTGATTGTGTGAAACTGTCCGTGCCATGCAATTCAAAAGCGATGGTGGCAATTGTGATCATGGCAACGGAAACACCGACCCACCAGACAGGTTCTTGCGAAGCGTTTCCACAAATGGTTTTGCTCCAGAAGACCATCGCACCAAGAGGGATGAGGAGCGCGTTAAGATTGGCAATCAAGGCCGATGATTCGTCTCGTAGAAGGAGTGCTCCAAATCCAAACATTCCCACGTAGCCAATCGTGAAGACAGTCGTCCACAAAATAGCTCCGTGTTCACAGCCATCAACTTCCGGTTCGAACTCGCCACCAAAATAACAACGAAATGCAAGGGCTTGATTCTCCCACACGCCTTGCCAAGTCAGGCCGTGTTTCGCATTTGAAGGGCGAAGCACGTTGACCATCAACAGAGGGCAAGTCACAAAGTAAACCACGAGGCTGTAGAAGTTGTACACTGTCAGACACACGAACAGTGGTGCTTTCAGTGTCTTAAAGGCCCGCTCCTGGTAAGTCGTCTCAAATGCTGTGGGAATGGCGCTCAACACAGTGACAACAACCCAAAACGGTGGATTGTCAGATTTGTCTCCTGCACCGCTACCAAAGAAGAGGGAGGGCACAAGGCCGGTCAATACCCCAGCAACAACACCAAGACAGCATAAGATCCGGAATGTAGTCACCTCAAACCGGAACATGTACCACGCGGAGACCCACGTACAGGGGATAGAGAGCGTCACAAGAATGTTTGTGAGCTCCGCGGATACAAATGGGATGGCAAACTGGGCCAAAACGCCGTTAACTGAAGTCCAAAGACCGAGCCAGGCAAAGTTAATGTGATGCTGTTTGGAGAGTGCCCACGATTCACGGCGGATGACGGCCAAAATGGCAAAGCACACTGTGTACATCATTGTAGTGCCGTACAGCAAGAACTCCGCGTATGGCTCCATGCGCTTGCCCATCATGATGACCCCGACGTTGTTGGCTAGACCAAACACCACGTACAGGAAGAGGAAGACCACACTGGAGAGCTTCATTGTGAGAGGTCCCACACGAAGAGGAAAGCGTGCTTCACTGCGGAGTCGTGTCTGGGGATGTGGCAAATGAAGTGGGCGATGTCTGTGCGAGCAGTACACTGTGGGAGTGTGGGATTACGTGTGTCAAGCATCACATCTGACTTTCTTGTTCCAGATTTTGCAAACAGAACCCGACACGCCTCCTCCAACGAAGAGCTCACAAGGCAAAAGAAAAGGGAACAGCAAAGAAAGGGGCAAGTTGATGAGATTCCCAGACAGACAACTAGCATTGCTTCGGCCCTGACTTCCTTTTTCGGACATTCTGCATAATACTGGAATGAAAATGCGCAGTATCATAGCGCGGTTGTGCGGATGTTGCTTGTCACCTTAGGACGCATGGTGTAGAAATTTACCACTTCCCGTGATCGTGTTGCGGGTTGAACGGTTTAATGTAAAATCTTCGTTCAATTGATTCGACCATTCTGTCAACACACTCGAGTTTCGTCAGCTTTATCTTGATTGCATCCAGCTGTCCGGAAGACTGCTTGTGACGGTGGTAGGTCTTACTATCCTCATATCTGCCGTTTTGTTGACGACCATGGCATCAAAAGGTATGCATTCGATAGCCCACTCTCAATGGGCTATCGAATGGTGCCAGTGTGACTCGCTTTGAGTGGGGCAATGCTGTGTAACAGGCTCATCTTTGAAGGTGTGTCTGCCGCCCCATATGGAGCGTGGTGCCAGCGCACACCATTCTAGGCTTTCTCCATGGTGTTAGTCATAGCAGTGCTTGCCACGTTCATGTGCACAAAGAAGATGACGGTGTTTGGTGTGATTGGAGCCCAAAACGTGATTTTGTGTGTTCATGTTCTTGTCATAATGCCTTGCTAAACTCAATGGAATACACATGGCATTTCTGATTGAACATTATGATTGTGTATTTTCGCGTTGCACTACAGAGACACTTGCTCGCTCGATCAGAGCACCCAAGATTTTGCAGATCGCTCAGACAAGCTTCTGTGCACGATGTCAACACCTTCTCCCCGTTGCATCTCGCTGTTTACTCGTGCAATGGCGCAATGGGCAACAAAACAAAAAAAATAAAGAAGAAAGAAAAGGCATACGCGCACGCGAGCGCACGTCGCGCCCTTGTTGGCATTGTATTTGCAGGGTACATGCAAGCAAAGGTTGCTCGTCAACTTGGCATGCCTTCATCTTCAACGGTACAAGGCACAGAACGACAGTCCAGCAGCTCCAGTAGCGGTAGCACGTGTGACACACGCGCGCACACACACACACACACACACGCACAGACACACACACACACACACACACACACACACATGAGTGTATCTTCCACGTGCTACGAGAACCGCGTGACGGGATGCGCCAGCTCTCCGCTTCAGGGACCGGAGTGGTGGGACCACACT